AAGATGAACACGGTCACGATGGATGAGTACGGAGCTCCGTGCTTCCCTCACGAGACCCTTCTCACCCCTCCCGAGTCCCCCGAGCTCAAGCCTCCCGAGGTCCCCGAAGTTGAAGGGGATGCTTCCGGCAACACCACCAGCATTCCCATTCGCAAGAGCAGAAGCCCCTCCTCCAAGAGATGGAATGGCGACGGTAAGGGAATCCAGGTCGATATCGGTGCCCGCCTGCGCGAGTACCTCGACTGCCTCAACAACCGCAAATTTGATGTCATCGGCAACCACCTGGCCGACACTCTGATGCGCAACAACCGCAGCCAGACACGCGAAGAGCACGTTGAACGTCTTCGATCGCGCGTCGAGGGCCTCGCGAGCTTCAAGATCAAAATCGACACCCTCCTCGTCGACAAGAAGGCCCAGGCCGTGGCCGTGCGATACATCAATCGCGTCACACTCGCCGACGCAATGATGGATGTCGATCCCGTCGGCACGACGTACGAATTCGACGAGCAGTGTTTCGTGTGGTTCGACGACAGGGGCAAGATCTCGCGCATGCTTACGCTGCAGGATAACGACGGCATTCGCCTGCAGACACCCGAGGCCGCGACCACGCCACGCTTCTTCATGCGGAGTCTTCCCGCGGAACCCATTGATTTGGCGGCAACCTATCGCAAGTACGTCGCTAGCATCAACCGGCATAGCATGGTCAGGGAGTTCCCTCGCTACTGCAAGAAGGAGCTGCGACACAACAACCGCGTTCTCTCGGTGCAGGACTACGCGCGCAGCATGCAGTACAGCCAAGAAGCGATTTCGGGACTGTGGTTCAACATCCAGGAGTTGCTCGTCGACGAGGAGACGCAGCAGGTTGCTGTGAGGCTGCAGATCTCGGGGACGCCGGTGCAGGAGTTTGCGGACGCGAAGCCGAACGGGAAGAGTGTCAAGTTTCACCAGCACTGTATGTATCGCTACGACAAGGGCAAGATTGCCCTCGTATGGGCGACGATGGAGCTTGATTCGTACCGCAGACAGTTGCAGGAGAAGCCTGGTGACAGGAGAACGTCGTCTATGTTGGGCATTAACTGAGCCCAGAGACACAACAACTTCAACAGGGCTGTATTGTATTATTAGCTTACGATTTGACGGACTTTGGGTTTACTTTGGAAAGACAGGAGCCGGAAAGGTTCGGAGCGTGGCGCTCTGACGCTGGGAGTTTTGGATCTTTCTGGGTTCAGGGTCAGCTTTGAGATAATTGTAATACGCGGTTGCTACATGGCAACATATCTCCCCTGAAAGAATTTAGACACGACTCTCGGTGACAATGTACACACAACCTACTATTTTATATCCAACTGCCACGGAGTTAGCAACGGGAATATCATCCAGATGCTATTCTACTAAGTCTCTAAATTGGCATATCCGCTATCATTCGGTATCATCTCAGGTCACGGAGTAGGTCATAACACCGGGCTGCCTAACGATGTCAGATCACGAGAGCCCTGAATGTTAGACAAATTCCTCAAATGAGGAGACTTGCACAAAAACAGCACGTTGTCTTTCGATCTTGATTGACACCCCGTAACAGCAGGGTGTTGGGCAAGGGATCGCTATTTCATCTAAGGTACTCATCAATCGTCTGTTACCATCTTTCATTCCGCTTCATGTCGCGCTTAGGCGATTCTTTTGAGATTGAGTCTGCCCTCTTGTGCAGGGATCAATGCCGGGCAACTTCAGGCGCGTTCGTCCCCTTAGTCCTACCTCTAATCCTTACGACGCATATTATGCTGAGATGTGCATCTTGCCGCAGAAGGAAATCTGCGGCATCCAATCGACTATGCTCCAGTGCAAGACCGAGTAGGAAGCCTTGTCCCTCTCTATAGATACTTTCGTATCTGCTCCACCTCCCAAAAGCATCCTCGTGATGTTGGGTCGGTCACTGGGAATGAATTCTGTCAAAGATAGATAGATCTACCTAAGGAGTTTGGGTAGGTACATACCCTTTCGGAACCTATCGCTTGGGCACCCGTCAGCTGAGATACCGTGCCGAGATCGAAGCATCATTGTGGGAAACGTGCCACCACAATGCATTGAGTTCAAAGTTCTTTGCATAAGCCAAAGGAGTTCACGATTGTTTGGGCTGCCGTTTGCTGTGTAATTACACCGAGATGTCGTGGTAAAAGCAGTTGCTGTCAATAATATGAAGCACAATATCACTCGATAGTAACGCGATATAGTCCACTAAATGAACAAGAGTAACAACGAAGCCCGATGATACAATGCGCAGCCGCTCTCAGGTTCGATCTCAATGGGATTTCGTAGAGGGGCGTTTAACAGCCAGAAAGTATGCTCATATCCCGATCATTTCGATATCTCTACCCCATTAGTAGCACCTACAACCGTATGATTAGCCTAGACATGGATAGAAAGCCAGATTTCCATACCCAGAGCCGTTTTAATGCTGCCATAGATGGCAAACTGGCCAGCGGTGAGCCCACCAATCATAAACAGACGTGCCGGAAGCCCAGAAAATGAACCACGGAGTCCGAGCTCGCACGCAATCTTGTAAAGACGAAAGGCGGTACTTTCATCAGGCAATCCCTTTGTCTTGTTGATTTTGGACAACATGGTGTCAGCTGGTTGCGAGATGACAGCCGCGGCACAACCTGATAAGAGACCGGATCCCATGTTAATCATGAGCTGTGTAGTGCCGGTCTTGGAGTTAACGAGACGGGCGAAGAAAAACTCGGAAATCTTTTCGAATGAAACGAATTTTGTAACCGTGTAAGGAACTCTTTGCTGGTGTCAGTACGTGCAGCAACGCAGCCCAAGAAAGTAGTGAAACACAGCTTACTGTTTGAACAAGATTGGCCCAAATCCGGAGTATAATGCACCAACACCCTCATGCTTCAGAATCTTGCTAAAACCACCTACCAACCCGTTGGCGAAGCCAGGCACGGACACGAGTCGGATACGCGTAGCTTCCGCGGGACAAAGTGTGACAGCAGAACAACATTCAGCACAGGCTGCCGAAACGGAGTAGACTGCCGTACGATTTCTTCTAGCTTTCTCGATTCCAAAGATATCAATCGATTGTTTCTTGAAGAGTTCATACAGGCCGAACTTGACGCCTCCTTGGATAAAGTAGCCGGTGAATGTTGGGCCCAGACCCGTGAGTAGAGAACCGACACCTTCGTTGCGTATCAGTTGGCAGAAACCCGTGATCATACCGCGGTTATAGGTTGCTGGTTCAAGCTGGATCTTCGTCTTGACACTATGGTATTGTTATGAGTCTGGCATGCGAGAGTAAAGGTGATAACTGACGTACACATCGACGGGCGTGAAGACAGCGTGAGTTATGGAGCAACCCAAAGCACCAGCGAGCGCGAATCGAGCATACAAATCCAGTCCTTCTGACTTCTGCATGTTGGTTTGAGCCTGAATGGCAGGATATGCAGCAGCCATTGCGAATTTTCCGAGCGTGAAGGATCCGTCCCCAAGAGAAGCATGTGTGTAACGAGGTGAAACGATGAGGGAGAACATCATTAAGAAAAGAGTCTCATGGGACGCATGCTATGACTCGGCGGGTGATACCGGGTTGTCTCGGCGAGCATTGAACGCCGTATATTACTGTCGCCGATTCCCCGCTAGACCCCGACCGGGTACCTTTATCAGCGGCCGCACATAATACGGACAATCCGTGTCCATACAAGTCGGAAGAGATATCCAACAGGCGGTACGCATAATGTTTCCTTCTCCTCTTTCCCCGCTGTCGGCTTGTAGGATCATTGCTACAACAGCGTGGCCTCAATTCTAGGCATACCGCTTTCCTCCGGCCGACGAATCTTATCGGTCCCCGGGTTCCCGGAGGTGTGGATCCCCGAGGATCCGTCAGATGCAGCGAATCAAAATCCTTTCACTCGGTTCAGGTGGGTCGCAGCTCCGTGCGTCGCCTGATATTGCCCGGAGCTCTCGGTCGATATGCTTCCACAGCTGGAGGGGTTATCGGTGGCATATCGCAGTACACTATCATTTGCCGAAGCAAGCTGCATACGTTTTCATCGTGGTTTTTATATTCCCATTGCTAGCAGACTTTCGTGAACGCTCTGACCCCCCAAAGTATGCGATCTTCAGAGTCTATGAGCAGTAAGTAAGTCGGTGCTGAAGAGCAAGAACGATTGATCGGGTCCGAGAAGGTCAACGTATCGGCGCACGTCAGCTTTCTAGAGAAAATTTGAAAGACCGATATCTCTATGATTTTATCGAGACTTTTCCATCCAGTTGGTTCGGGTTCCCGCGGGCCTACGGATAGCTAAGCCTCAGGATCCACCGGCGAATACAATCTGCGGACCTGGGGCGATGGAAGGATGACAAGCACCCATGTCAGCTTATCCTGATTGGTGCAGGGATGGCCTGATGCTGATTTCCCCTGAGTCTTGCATGCCCTGCATCTTCGTTTTTGCGGTCAATTGGCAATCGCGAATGTCATTGAGGAGTGGAAATCCAACACATAGGTCGCTGTGATGACTTGCAGTTTGCGAAAGGTACTTGGCATCCACCCTGATGGAAGCCTCTAAAGTTCAGCCCTATTGTTCCACGGGCGGCTTCAAGATGCAGACACACAGTTTGCCCTAGGGCAAACAAACTTGAAAGTTGGGAAATGCCTGAGATCTTAACGGCCGCCAGTTCCAAGATCCCGCCCGCCCAAATATGAACATCCCTGCATTCCCGCCGCCTTGTCTCACCGCCCCCTGCGAGGCGCGAAGAAAGGGTCCAACCTGCTCAGCTGGCAGCTTTGGTCTCGCCCTGTTGGGGGAAGGGGGCCGCTGGTAGAGAAATATTGTTACTGTTACTTCTTTAAGCGACTCGCGCTTACGGGCACTTTCTCAACAGTTTTGTCACACAACTTTTTGCTCGAGAAACATACCGTTTGATTCCTTTTCGCCTCGGCATCTTCTCGTGGAAAGCTGAGCTGAGCTGAGCTTCGCCTCGACTGCGTGACAAGGACCATGATCGAACCCACCACCGAGATCGCGCATACGAAGCGCGCTTCGCCTGTCGCATCCATGGCGCCCAGGCTTGCTCACTCACAAAAGTTAAAGACCATTGACACGAGCCGGAGGAAGAAGCTTGTCCAATGGCTCTTTGACAACCAGACAAGTACGTCGCGAAGAGTGTGGAGGGAAGCTGACCACATCTACCGATGCCGTGCATCACACCCATTCATCCTACGAGTCAATGCTGACCTGAAGTTCTCTAATTGAACAGACCTTGCCTTCCATACAACTGCCCCTCTACTCCTCACACACACCTGCATCCCCGCGGCACGTCCGTATACATCCAAGTTCATCAAACTCTCATACTACAACACGTTAACCGGCAAGTATGGCGCCGGCCACGACGACCTCTACTTTGTCGCATTCTGCGTGGTTCTCCTCATTGGCATCCGAGCCGCGCTGATGCGCCACGTTCTTGAGCCCCTCGGCCGGCATTGGGGCATATCGAAGAAGAAGGATGTCGCGAGGTTCTCAGAACAGGGCTCGATGCTCACGTACTACAGTGTCCTATGGCCAGTGGGAATGGTATAGTAGATTCGCATTCTCACCTCGTGGGCATGTCGTCAACTAACCGGCGAGTTCCTAGTACCTCTATTGCAAGGCGCCATACTACCTTAACATGAAGGAGCTGTGGAACAATTGGCCCCAGCGAGAGCTCGGCGGGTTGATGAAGGGATATATCATGGTACAATGGGCATACTGGGTCCAGCAGGTCATCTCAGTGAATATTGAGGCTCGGCGCAAGGACTACTGGGAGATGATTGTGCACCATGCCATCACCATCTCCCTCATTGCCGCATGCTACGCGTATCACCAAACCCGCGTTGGTCATCTCATCTTGGTCTTGATGGACGTCATTGAGTTGATCTTCCCTGTCAGTCCTCCTTGAAACAACGTCACGCACCAAACCACCTGCTAACGGTCACGACAGCTGGCCAAGTGCCTCAAATACATCGGTTTCACAACCCTCTGCGACGTTATCTTTGGCGTCTTCCTCTTGGTCTGGGTCTGGACGCGTCACGTATTCTACCTCATGACCTGTTGGAGCGTCTACTATGATCTGCCCCGATCTCTTAAAGAGCCATGCTTTCGAGGCGCTCCGGGCAACATTGAAGGCCCTTTTTCGGCACCTAAAGAGGGGTGGTCCCACCTTCTCGAACCGTTCAAGGACCCCGCGGGCACGGTATGCTTCACCGACGGCATTCGATACGGCTTCTTGACTTTTCTCCTTGCACTTGAGCTTGTCATCTGCGCGTGGTCATTCTTCATTATTCGTGTCTCAGTGAGAGTGCTCAAGGGGGCTCCCGCCGAGGATGTTAGGAGCGATGTTGATGACGAGGAAGAGGAGGAGGAGAAGATCGAGTATGAGGAGATCGAGGCCATTGAGGAGGATGTTGGCGTAGAGTCTATTGACCTAAAGGCTTGGGACAGGTCGCCTTCCCGGAAGGAGTCTTCGAGCTCCAGGGTGAGTGGCGTTAGGACGCACAGCGGCCGGAAGGAGTTGCTCAATAGAATCGGGTGCGAGAAACAGATTGATTGAGGGCTGTGGCGATGATACGCTACATTGGCTGGCCAAGACTCGCAGACACAATAGATATCAATGCTCCAATTCATGACTTACAACTTGCTAGATTCTACTCTGATACTCGTGCTATCCACCTACTCATATCATGGCACTCTAGTATGCCCATATCAAAGAGTAGCGATTCTCTCTTTCATTTTCCAGTTTGAACGATCGCCCTCCGCTACAATGGATAGTTCATATAACACCCCCCCAGAATGAGTAGTTTCAGAGAGGTCCTATCCCGCAGCAACATTGTCTTGGGGCGGTGTGCAGCTCCTGTCCCCTCATGAATCGGGACCGAGTGAGACCCGCTCCATTCGGAGCAATATGACGACATAAACACTCCGATTCGGAGGGTAAAAAACTCGTAAGCGTCTCAATTCTCCAGCTCGACCCTCTCCCCCTTTTCCATTCCTCAGCCTCCCGCAACAATTCTATTATCCGCCAGGGTCTGGTGGGGATGGCGAATGGCAGCCACCGTTGGAAACGTGGGTCCATATACTGTGATTGGAAGCTGCCGAGACATGGACATTCGCATGTTCACCGGACTCAGCTGAGAGGCTTCTCAACACAGAACTTCGGACTTCGCAAACTTAGATGCAGAATGCTCGCGGAGCTGAAACCAAAGCTTGTAAAAGGCGCGCTGTATGAACTGTACATATATCCCATAAATCTTCGATTACTATCAAAGGACTCCGTCCCCGTCCTCCAACGGGATAAAAGCTCAATTTTCCCCTTCTGGACTTCTGCTGACGCCCCCGTTTGATTAACTGTGTGCCACACACACCGACCAACAGTAGCCCCTGCATTAAGCTATCCCAAGACGGACAGCTCTCTAGTTGCGCCTGGCCTGCCTGTGTTGGGGACGCCCGCTCAAATTATTTGATCCCCTCACGATCTCGAGTCTTGCGATTCTTTTTCTTTGCGCATCGCGGAGGTGTGAGACGCGGAATTCTGAAGACAGACCTGCACCCAACCTTAAATGTCTTGATCAATTGGATCAATGATCGGAAGCTAAGGTGTCATTTGACAAGTCGAATTTACCATTAGCACGACGACCAAACGATCGCGACGACGAAGCAATCCACGAACTCCCGCCGAGACCCAAAATCCCACGATCTCTTACAACATGGGCGCGAACTACATGGAACTCCAGCCAGGCGCTCAGGTCCCGCCGCAAATGTTGAAGAGCCGCCAGACAAAAAGCTACTCGAAGCGCAAGAAGACAAGGGTATTCGCTCTCCTGCGCCGTCGGACCTGGGCGTTCCCCTTGTTCCTTACGATCGCGATCCTCTCTCTCTACGCCGTCAATCCGACCGACTCTAACCCGACGTACCACTTCATATTCCCCTCCTACAAGCTCGACGATGATAGCGTCGGGACAATTCAATATGGCAAGGGACCTTGGGACATCGCCTTCGTTGCCTTCTACACAATATTCCTCACCTTCACCCGTGAGGTCTGCATGCAAGAGCTCCTGACACCCCTCGCTCGCGTATGGGGGATCAAATCCCGCGCCAAGCGCGCACGCTTCGCGGAGAACATGTACACAGCACTCTACGTGACCGTCATCGGGCCCTGGGGTCTGCACGTCATGAGCCGTACGCCAGTATGGTATTTCGACACCCACGGGATGTATGAGGGCTTCCCGCACCGCACGCACGACGCTAGCTTCAAGTGCTACTACCTCCTACAGGCAGCGTTCTGGGCGCAGCAGGTGGTGGTGATGGTGCTGGGCTTGGAGCAGCGACGCAAGGACTTCCATGAGCTTGTCGCGCACCATGTCGTCACGGTTGCGCTCGTTGCGCTGAGTTATCGCTTCCATTTTGCGTACATGGGTATTGCGGTGTACATCACGCACGATATCAGCGATTTCTTCCTGGCAGTGTCAAAGTCGCTGAATTATCTCGACAACAAGCTTCAGGGGGTGTCATTTGGGGTGTGTATCGCAGTGTGGGTCTACCTCCGGCACTACATCAATCTGCGGATTCTCTATTCTGCGCTGCCTGGATCCGAGTTCAGTACCGTTGGGCCATATGAGCTGAACTGGGAGACTGAGCAGTATAAGTGTCCGCTGTCAAACTTCATCACCTTTGGCCTCTTGGCTTTGTTGCAGGCACTGAACCTGTTCTGGCTGTATTGCTTACTGCGCAGCGCTTACAAGTTTGTCTTCTTGGGGGTTGCCAAGGATGATAGATCGGAGGATGAGGAAGTTCCCACAGCTCAGCGGGTCGTTCAAAAGGAAGGACATGTAATGACAGCGTCGGATGTGTTATCCCACAGTCTTGATGAACCCAGGCCTCTATTATCGCAAGACTCTGTGCAGCAGAGAAGGCCTAGAAAGGCAACGACATAGTCGAGGTGGAGAGAACACTAGCAGTCAGACAGAGTAGACAATTAGCGCGAGACTGTTGAAGGTTCGCACAACATGGCATGGAAGTCTAAGTGAGCAGATGAAGTACGTATAGTTGTTGACCCCACTAAGGTTTGGCTATGTGATACCACGTTAGGCGGAAGTCGGTGAAACCGTAATTCGACTCAGTACTGGCCTAAAAGGGGGATGTTTTAATCTCGAGACTCACAATGATGATATGCTTACACCAAGTTGAAGGGAAGGCATGAATCTCAAAACATGGAAGACCTCTATTACATAATGGGTAGTGTGCAACAGTACGATGACACCAATGACGACGAAAAGCATCCGATACAACTAAAACTCCAAGTAAACTCCATGTAATGAATCATCGCCTTAGCAACTTCGGCAGATTCATCGGCTCTCCAGACCCCAGCGAACTCCGGAACACAGCAGCCATAGCAGGCGATAGGCCAATCTCCTCCGCGCGATCAATCCACTCATTTAGAACTAATGCCTCAACAGCTTCTCCCGTCTCAGTCTCCAAATGCTCTCTTATCTGGCTTACATCCAACTCCAAGTCGCCAGACTCGTGAATGTACACAACTTCATCCTCCTTAGACCCAGACATGACAGCACTCACCACCCCACTGGTGACCGTCTCCGGCTTCACCAAGTCGACAAAGCCGCTCAGACCCGGCGCGGCCGGCACGGCGCGTACGCGTCGTGAGTAATCGAGCATGTTCTGCAGGACATCAGCAGCCGGGTTCTCGCCGGTCCTGTCGGCCTCTGGACGCATGATGCTCGACGGACGATGAATGTAAATCGGCAGACCGGTTTGTCCGTGAATGTTCTCGAGGTATACCTCGCTGGCCCACTTAGATGCGACGTAGCCTTGTTGGCCGTCCGCCGGGGGCATGTGTTCGCGGACCGAGACTTCGGCCAGCTCCTTGAAGGGGGTGTACATGGCAACACCCGTGGTGGACACATAGTGCAGCGGGATCTGCCGGGGGCTGCACAGCCGGACGAGCTCTTGCGTTGCCCCGAGGTTTGCAGCGCGGAGAGAATGATAAGTCTTGAGATGCGAGACGTCCGCGCCGTTATGGATCACCGCATCGGCGGATTGGAAGATAACGAGGGCTGCTTCTTCCGTGAGACCGAGGCGAGGCAAGCTGAGGTCGCCTTCATAAAACTCTGCCTTTGGCCCGAGCTCAGAAAATAGTTCTTGGCGAGGTTGGTCCTTGGGGTTCCTAACCGCTATGCAAATGACCTTCTCAATGTTCTCGTTCTCGACAAGGGATCTGGCGAGGTATTGGCCAAGGAAACCAGTGACTCCGGTCAAGACAACAGTGCGAGGGAGCTTCGCAACAGGCTCGGCAGTGTCTCGCTCAGAAACTATATCTCCTGGCAGCAGAGCGGTTTCGATTGCCCAATCGATCTGCTCTTCGAGCGCCGCCTCAGTGTCGTTAATCCCGGGAAGAAGCCGGGCCATCGACCTCAGGGTGGTAGCTTGGAAAAGCTTGGGCAGTGCGATGAAGATGCCGAGATCCGCACGGATCCGACCCTGAAGCTCGATCAGGAGAAGAGAGTTACCTCCGATGGTAAAGAAATCGGAATCCGCCTCGATGTCATGCAGTCCAACCAGCTCTTCAGGGATCACAATTTCCCAGTAGCTCTGGAGTGTCTTCTCGGCCGTGGACAGTCTCTTGGACCCTTCGGAACCATCTCCACCATGCTCAGCGCGATGGAAAAGCCCCTGCGAGATAGGCAGGGAAGCGATGGCCCGTCTGTCGACCTTGCCAGCTACCGTTCTGGGAAGCGAGTCAATTGGTATAAGGGCCGAGGGGCACATGTTTCGTGCCAATGGCAATTCTGCGAGAAGCTTCTTGAGGAACTTGCTCGTAGAGCCGGTCAGGCTCTCGCCCGAGAAGACGACATGGACGACCATGAACTTGACCGACCCGTCAGAGGTGCTGCGGAGAGAGGCCACGGCATCGGCGAGAAGACCGTTGGAAGCTTGCACGACGGTATTCTCCACGTCCCTCAGATCAATACGCACACCATTGAGCTTGATCTCTGTGTCGTCTCCGATGCGTCCCTTCAAAACGAGGGTGCCATTGGGCTGCAGATATCCAACATCGCCTGTTCGGTACATGGTCGCCCATCCGCGCTTCAAATCGTCCTCGGTTGCGAAGGGATCCGGCAAGAAGGATGTCTGAGTCCGGTCCTCCATGTTCAAGTAGCCCTTGGCAACGCCAACACCACCGATGGCAATCTCACCAGTCTGACCAACTGGCTGAAGGTTCAGACTGGGGTCCAGAATATAAAACCGCTCATTGGCAGAGGCCACTCCAACGGGGATGGTTCCGTGATAGAATCCAGGCTCACGGTACGACAGCTCCATTTTGGTAGATCCACATGTTGTCTCTGTGGGGCCGTACACATTGAACAGTCGGAGGCCGTCGCGGTCCACCTCACGGAAGAGCTGCACAAGCGGCTCGGTGACGGCTTCTCCGGCGACTAACGCCAGGCGCCAGACAGAGGACCGCAATGTTGCCTGGTTTTCCCGCCTCAACCAACTCTTGTACTCAGTTGGAGTTGCGTAGGTGGCCGTCACACCTTG